TGAAGTCCAGACATCTTCAAGTGGCCAAGGTTGAGAAACATTGTTCTAGAATCATTTAACCAGAGTTGTGTTGATATTAATGAGGACGGGTTTTTTTTATTATCTCAACAACTCTAAAGGATGTTCTAAGTCGTCAAAAGCAAAAGACAGGTAGCCCTTTCTTACTGACCACTCATTCAGTGATAGTTGTGATAGCACTGAAAAAAGACTTGTAGTATGTTTGGTGGTTGAAGCTGTAGCCATTGCAGTATCCCTGCAGTCATGTGAGTATTATTTGGAGCCTTAGTAATCAGTGTGCATTTACAATGGTTGCAGTGTCCCTGGGTCACCTGGTCATTGGGCTAAATTTCAATCACCTGGTTATTACTTATTACCCTCACAGCTGGCTTCTGATCAGCAATGGGAATGAGGAAGCCAGCAGGAAGTTGCAAGTCGGAGCCATGTGATATCACATTTAACAACTGTGGGTGATTTGCTAATGATCACAACTGGAATTACTGTCATAAGTCAAACTCTGATGTGTAATTTTTCACTTTATGTCCGCATCACTTAGCAAGAGTGCTAGTTTCATTTGTGGGCAATAAGTGAAGGCAATCTCTAATTGAAGGCTACAACGTTTCCTTCTGAGCACATTCTATTGAATCTAATACAACTTCCATTCCCAAAGAAGGCATGCATAAGACAGTACTGCACATTTTATGAGTTCCAGATTCATACTCTATCTTCATTTTATAAATTGTTCTTATTAAGAAAAAGAATCTCACTAAATTAAAAAAAACTGAAGTAGTCTGTTAAAGTGAATGAATATTTACCATAATTTTACCTTCACTAGCAAAAAAATCTAGAGCTGCAGATCTGAATTTGGCCACAGAGTGGGGCTCCACAGATAAAAATGCCTTATGCATCTCTTTCTAATATACATAGTAATGTAAAGGAAATGCAGCTAAGGAAATACTGCATTTCTAATGATATATTAATACTTAATTTTTATTGTGCTTCTACATTCGTTTTAATTACTCAGAACCAAATAACTCCACATGTCATCTTTGCTTTATAAGCGGATGTAGATTCCTTTACACTTTTATCAAAAGGCAGCTTGCCTTGTAAAAGCAGCTTGATTTGCTCATCATTTGCAAGTGAAACTCTTAGATCACATAGCAACAACTTCAATCACTAAACTTCCATCACTAAATAGCTTTTTGGAAGTGGACTGATGATGTTGATAAAATTACTTATGTAATTAATTTTAATTAAAATTCCTTATGTAATTTTATCCAAGGTTTGCTCTATCATTATCTAGAGCAGTTATTTCACACAGCAAATGTTACGTAAGATGTAACACACATAAATTTACTACATAGGCTCCCATTTCTTCCCAATACTGCATTACCTTCTGAATTATAATGGAAAATGCCAATACAAGATTCATCACTAACTGCTTAGAGAGGGCTGTAAAGACTGTGGAGCAATATACAAGTCTAAGTGCTATTGCTATTATAAGAATTAGTATAAATCCAGCTGCCCAGATTCACTTTATTGTGATATGGGTAGCATAAAGTTTAATAACTAAAATCAATAAAATCAATATTATTCCCCCCAATTATTTATCCAAACAACCTGGTCTCCTGAATAATGAGGTCCTGGACTTTGCCCCATTATTATTCATCTCTATTTGGAGAATGTCTGACAAATCATTAAAAGAAGAGCAGGAGGAAACATCTCCATAACGGTAACATCTACATGATGATAGGTAGACCTGTAGAAATGGACCATTTTACTTACTTGTGTTTTACCAAATAACAGAACTGTCATTATTATCATGAAAATTGGGATGTTACCCCCCCATTTTCTTCTGCTTGTTTGGAATCCCAAGAGGAGTAGAAACCCTGCCATAAGGGTCTGTTATGAGCGACAAGAAAAGATGCAGGTTGTATGGGCTGATGAACACATTTTCCTGCTTGGCTCTCATCTAAGAAGCATGAGAAGCAGTTGCTGCACCAGTGCAACAATTGCTGCACTGGATGAGAAACGACACATCTTCAAGGAAAGACAAAGAAAGTCCAGTTGCCTTTTGAAAGAGTGACTGAGAATCTCCATAGACATGCACAAGGGCAAAATCATTGAGTTTAGGTAAAAAATTAGGGGGGAAAAAACCCCTCCTTTCAAGTTGAGTTCAGTTCTTGGTGGCTTCTTGGACCCATTTATGTAGACATCTTAACAACAGTAAGTGATTTGTCATTCTCTTCTTTGGGATTTCCCTGAATGGCTCCCATTTAAGTACTAACAAGGCCTGACTCTGCTTAGCTTCTGAGCCCAGAAAAGATTAGCTGAGTGCTGCCATCTTTTCAGAATCCTTCACCAAAATGAGTTACCTCCAATGATCTCTTAAGTATTTGATAGTCAGAAGAACACTGTTTTGTTTTATGCATCTGTGCTGGGTCTGACTGAATAAGTTTCTCTATTTCTTCCAATTGGATTGCACATTCATCCAGGTGTCCTTGAATGCTCTGTAGAATAAAATTGCATTTTGAATAAGTTGCCATGCAGGATGCTGTTCAAGGAATCATTGCATACTTGAAAACATCTTAAAAGAACAGAAGAACCTGTTTGAAAAGGCAAACGGTTGTATTTCAAAAGAATAGATTCAGAAGATAATCTTACAAGTAAAAGTTAGTCCTAATCCT